AGGAATGCTCTTCTTGTTGGTAGGTCGTGCCATTTATTTACACTCAGACTAGTCATACACTGCTGAAGGCAATACAGGAATCCTAGTGAAACTTCATGACAATTGTAAACTGGAACACAATTTTATACATTATTACCATTATGGCGATCCTAAGTATGCAGGCAGACTTCTGGAAGTTCTTCTGTTACTTGTTTAAGGGTAAAGGACACAAAACTCAAACAGGAAGAAACCACCTTTAGTTCCATCTAGTTGTTTTTATAGTTCTTTAGAAAGTACCTACGTGGTTCTCCATATTGTACTATTAGCAGCATTTTTTGCAGTTTTGCAAACAGAGGAAGGCAAAAATTTCCTGCAAGCAAAAGCCCAACATGAAGTGGGCCAAATCAACATTTTATACATTTGTCTTTTAACATTTACTTTGTGCTTCTTCTTGTGGAGAGTGGTACAAGGTGGAGGAGAAAACCAACATTCAAACACAGTAATCCAATCTACCTCCTCTCCTGTTTTCCACTACTTGCTTTAGCTTTAGTAAAGCAAACATGTCTGCGCTTTATAAAAATAGTGTGCAGTTGTTCATGCAGCATCCATGGGAAGAGGATGAGAGAGAAGACAATTGCCATGAACAGTGACCTGGTGCTAGTCCATCCATGTAAAAGCTTAACTCCTTCCACTACCTGTTTCTCTTCTGTATGCATTCGAAAGCTGTATCCTTCTGTATTCTGAAATCAATGTTTGTTGCATGATTCTATAAGCCAATATGCCACAGTTAAATTACTAGCTGAAGTTATGCCAAAATTGGATGTTGAATTATAGCATTAATATTTTAATCAAGTTTTAAACCTTTTATTTTTGAATGGAATAATTGGCTCCTCCAACAAACATTTTCCTGGTTGTGTAAAATGACTTTTTTATTAAAAAAGGTTTATTATGAAGACAATATCTAGGACATGAAAAATGTGTGTTTTATGTAGCCTTCATTTTCCCAAATATTAAAAATCAGCATTATAGACCAAATCCAACTTGCCTACTAGTCATCCCAGGGAAAGCAATGAGACTAGCTAAGACAGCAGGGGAGATGGATTTGGTTCTATATATTGTAGTAGTGGCTGGTTCTCTGTGTATGTGTGTGTGCGCGCGCTTATGTTTGGAAGATGGGTGAGGATGGGACTGTATGCATGGTATGGAAGAGACGGGGTGGAGTTTTAACAATGGGGAAACTTTGTCTGGCATTGGGCCCAGGCTGAAATTAAATCCATCTGAGAGTGTGTTGGTTTTCACTTTGTAACTTAATGCAGAATAGTTTGGGACTGATGGGGAAAAATAAAGACTGCATGTTGGTTTCTTCTTGTTCATAATGCTTAATTCCACAGCTGTTATGAATACTGAAAGCATCACTAAAAGGCAGGAAAGGAGTGCCCACCTAGATGATGTGGTGGGCCAGATTGGATGTTGCTTCCATTTCGGGAGCTTTTGTGATTGGAAGCTTTCCAGCCTTCCCTGCTACTTATTTATTTTTCCATCATCAAGATTAGCTTTAGACATTATAGAACAGGAAGACAACAAGGCGGGGGGTAGGGGAGCTGGGACTATGAGGTTTGGAATAATTACCAAATCACAAAAATATTTTTATTGGCAGCTAACATGGTGTTTTTAATTACTGTGCCAGAGAGTATGATGGGTGAATTTTAACCAAATATTCATAAGCATATATATGAACTCCATATAAATGATAGCCATCCGGAGAACATTAGGGTTACACCGTAATGCCCTTGGTTAGTCAGGAAATTCTGAAATTAACCCTACCCCTTGTGCATGTGGTATTATGTTCCTGCCCTTAATTACACAATCACATACTGTTTCTCAAATAATACAATCTGTTGGTATTTACCCCCTTTACAGTCTAAGATACTCACTGGTAATTGTGGAGGTAAATTCAATAATCAGGAGTTATTTGACTAGGTACCCCTCCCAAACCCTGTCTGCTTCACTGCAGGGGAGAGTCCTTCTCCACAAGAGCTTAGAGGGGGCAATACGCTTGAGCCACTTTCTTGCAACTTTTAGAAGCTGGAGGAATTGAGAGGTGCCTCAGAGCTGGACTTCTTCCAGCAAGCCTAACCATGTGTGCAGCAGCAACTAATAAACTCTGCAAGGAACGAGCCAAAGGCTCCTGTGGAGCCCTTAATTCAGCCCATGTGCATCTTCAGAAGTCTCTCCATCATGCAGCTAAATTAGCTACACTCTTGTGTGTGAGGCAGCCTCTCTTGGAGGCAGCCCTTTGGGTCAGGCTGCGGGCGTAATGGCCACTGAAGATCGAAGGTGTTCCTGGGGGTTTCCTTAGAAACTTCAGGAAGCCTTTCTGGCGTCAGTAGAAATTGCTTGAGTACTCATAAATTCTTCACTCAAACTCATGCTTTTGGCAATAGTCTGTAGCTATATCTATTTGCTTTAATTGGATACCACCTTCTTCTCCTAATGGCAGAACTGAGAATCAGGTTCCTTCTGAAATGGTGTGGACAGGTTGATTGCTCCCTCCAAAACATGCATGTAGCTGAGCATATGATGTGTAATAAGTAGCTGCTGCAGACCAGGGAGTGGTGTTGAGGGTGGTGGGGAGGCATTTCTGTATGGCTATTACCTAAAAGCACAGCCTAAGTCTTGTTCTTCCAATTTCATTAAAGCACTATGTGCAGGGGAACGGGTTTGTAAGAACTCGGGGAAGACAGGCCAGCTAAGGAGACTCACTCCATGGCATTCTTCCAGATCTGCTTTTGTCTAGAAAATCCTTGGCGGCGATGCAGGGATTTTCATGATTAGAGCTGAGTAAAAGATTGTAAAGGGGATTAAATACTGTAATCAAAATATTCTGTGAAATTTGTCAAAAAGAACTGTGTTCCTCACAAACGTATAGGGTTTTGGGTTTTTTATTTTTAATTGCCTGTCTGGCTTAATAGTCTGTGGTCATATTGGAAGAAAAGAGATTTTTTTTTTTAAGTAACATGTTTAGAAAAGTGATGGTAAAAGGAACAGGCAGATAAGAAGCATTTTCTGATTACTTTCAATCTGACAAACATCCGCTTGTCCAGTGCAAGCACGGTGAGAACCGTGACTGCCCGCAAAGGAGGCAGTGAGAAAACGAGGGGATGGAGGTAAGAAAGGAGCGAGAGATAGGAGGGCGAGCGTCCCTCTGCGATGCCCTCTGCCAGCCCGCTGTGCAGCTGTTGTGGATTCCTGGGGGACATGCTGACACAACGTGGCAAAGGCAGCTGCGGACAAAAACAGTCAAAAAAGGATTTGCCCCGGGTTTATCCTCGTTACTCACTGGGGTGGCTGCTGGAAGTTTCACTGGAGCTGACCTTCATGAAATATGTGGCTGTTTATTGACGTTTATGTTAGTGAGGTAAAGCAATGTTCTCCTTTGAGGAAATGCAAAATAAAGCCCGCTCTGTTTCTCTGGAGGGTGCCTAGCTGCTGCAACGGAGTCTGTACTCTATAGTGTGCTAGTAAACTGCTAGTAGGACGATCGTAAATAGTGTCGGTATTGCTGTGTCCCCGTTCTTGCAAAAGCCTAACTGGCTGCAAAGTATGTTGTGCTTATTATCTTTTAGGAAGTCATACTGTACCTCTTAAATGAACTATTTACCTTCTGATGCAGCAGCTCAGTTGTCCTCTGGCTCTCCTGTTCCTATCTGTACTTTCAGCAATGTGATTTCCAGGCAGTGAAGACTAGATTAAGTACGTTCACTTGAAATTCTGTTGTGTTAACATAGAATAAATCTGGATTGATGCTGCTGAAGTTGGTGGAGATACTGAAATTGAAAACAGAAGTCGGTCATCTGTAATCAAAAGTGACAGAAGGGATGAAGAATCACGAGGATTTACAGTGCCACTTTTCCCTCCGTGTCTCTTACTCACGTTAACAGTTTAAACTGGTCTATCTTTCCAGTCCACCATGTGGCTCATCTACCCAGGAGACACGTTGACAAAGGGGATCAGGAGAGCCATCTGACATGAAGGTAAGAAGGAATGGAGGGCTGGCAGCATCTCCTATGTTAGACACCTCCAAACTCTGCGCCTGCTTTTT